CCCCCCCCCCCCCCCCCCCCCCCCCCTCACACTTAGAATACAGGATTACACATCTTTTACACAAGTTTACAGGGGAGCTTGATGCCAGGTAGGTGATGCCAGCGGCGTCACAATCAATGGCTATGGGTTTGATAATCTCACTTTTCCACACCAAGCAACTTGAGATCTTGGCAATCTGGAAACCTACAGCTGTAAACAGAAAATCTTTTGACTCTGCCTTTGATATTCAAGGCCTGGCTGTCAACTTTCATACGCTGCTTAAAATCCTTATAACTGTCTTTACTGATATTTTCTTTGTCGTATTTTGTTCATCTGTCTGTTCTTGTTTTGTTCATTTGTTTTGTCCTGTTTTTCTTAAAGGGAGTTAATTCCAAGAAGTACTTGTACTTCAGAGAGTGATTTTTCTCCAAGTGGTGGAGACTGGCTCGACATGGCACTGGTGGCTAATGGTGGAACATTTATGGATTCTGAAGTGAATGAACTCAGGGCATTGAAGAAAGCTGTTGTGTTTTGTTTGCTCTTAATTCCATACTGGATGATTTATACTCAGGTAACTGAGAATGAGGTTTTAAGACATGTTTCAAATTCTACAGCTAAACATCTTCTGGTGACGTAGAGCTGCAAAGACTTCTGTTAGTTTGATGTTCATGTACGCTGTAGATGAGAGTTTGTATTGATATTATTATATTACAATCAAAGAAAAATTTTTAATTGACATAAAAAAATTCAAGGTGTGTAATCCAACACTACTATAACAGTTCATCATTTTTTGCAATGGAAGGCCATCAAAGTGATTCTAGAATGAGAAAGGTGACTGATTTTTGTTTACAATCAATTTCGGGATCAGTTGGTCAATTACTCAATAAGCCTATTAACAAACATAGAAATCATAAAGGAATAAAGAAAGACAAAAATACACAAAGTCAACAAGTATTCAAACTAACATTTGGTTGGTGGTTTGGTTTGCCAGTAGGTCAGTCATTTGATAAATCAGTCAGTCAGTTGGTCCATTAGTCAGTTGGTCAGTTGGTTAGTAAGTCATTCAGTCAGTCAGTCAGTGAGTTGGTCAGCCAGTCAGTTGGTCAGTCAGTCAATCAGTTGGTCAGTCAGTCAGCCAGTTGGTCAGTCAGTTAATCAATCAGTCAGTCATTCTGTCAACCAATCAAGCAACCAATTAGTTTGTCAAACAGTTAGTTGGCCAGTTAGGGCCTTTCTACACGAGCAGACAAAGCTAGAATTTTCCAGACAAAATCAAAGAGCCAATTTTGTCCTGACATGTTTTTGTATCTGGCAGGCATTAAAAATTTAAAAGCTGTCAAATTCCTTCAGCACCTGATCTGTTCATAAGACAGGCCAGCATAGTTTGCCAAAGTATTCCACCTCCAATTTACAGGATTTATCCTAAGTTGTTTTAAATTATTTTAGAATTCCTGAATTTTGCAATTTATTTCAGTTCAATTACATGCTAGCAGTGTGTTTGAAGATTTGTCGGCTTTGTCAAAAGTTTTTTAATGTGACAAACCATTTGCAGTTGTAAAATGTTAGTGATAACAGGAAATATGTCTGAAGAAACAACAGTACTTTTTCGCTTGCATGGAAAGACCCTTAGTCAGTCAATTAGTCATTCACTCAGTTATAGTCAGTTTTTCTCAGTCATTTAGTCTTTCAGCTGGTCAGTTGGTCAGTCAGTCAGTTAGTCGATTGATCAGACAGTCAGCCAGTCTGCAGTCAATGAGCCAGTCCAATCAATCAATTGAAGTCCTCATTTTACATCTGTGAGTCTGTGTACATTGCAAAAGACAAAAGGAGGGACAAATGGAAATTTTTAAAACCCACAATGTTGTTATTGACATTCATATTTTCAACTGAAACTGAATTTCAATTTATTTAATTAGCTTTACAGCACATTTATCCTGCAAGGTCTTCACCTCAAGGCTGAATATGGAGGGTTTATTATCCCTGCTGCGTGGCCAAGTCTCTGTGAGATTTTTATTCTTCTGATCCTTGTTCCGATGCTGGAGAGAGCTATATATCCCAGCCTGAATGGGTGTGGTATTAATGTCTCCATCCTTGGAAAGGTCATCTTAGGAATGTTCCTGGCCGCTGGTTCAGCTGGAATGGGTGAGTACAAGTTTGGGGCAGATTCAAAGGTGGTTCAGGTGTTTTGGTCGAACTCCCTACACTGAATTTGAATAACATCTAAACACATGCAATTATTGGGAATTTTTTCTACAATAGTTATCCCTGAAAAAAACGAGAAATCATTTTTTTAAGATCTCAATTTCAACATTCTTGGCAGGGGCATCACCCCTCACCCTTCCATGGATTGCCCTCTTTTTGGTAGACATTTATCCAAACGCTCCTTTACTACAGTAAATCCTAGATTTACCCATGGTAAAAATGCACAAATTTCATGTAATTTGTACCTGCAAAACTTTTACTACTTCTTCCTCATGTATCACAATCAGTAAGGGCTAATTTTAAAGAAAAATAATTATACCAAATGCTTTCAAATGCCAATATACATATTTGTACCTGTCAAAGATTGAAAATCAGTAATGAAACAGTCATGTACAGTGTACATATAGTCTGCTTCAAAAGGGTGGTGCTGGTGGCTGCTAAAATCTTACATATTCGACACTCCTTTGACCTTTCCTTTTTCACTCTACAGCTGGTTATGTTGAAAAAGAAATGACAAACAGTTTTTTTGATGCTGGTTCTGTCAATCATACTGCCAGTGGGGAAAAATACCCTGTGGTGAGAGACTATTCTATTTGGTGGCAAATTCCACAGTACACCCTGATGGGTATGAGTGAAGTCTTCACAAGTATTCCAGGTAAGGCAGTGTACTGTCTTGTTCATGTTATACATGTACCAGACACTGTTTAGTTTTGTTGAATTGAATTTAAACAAGGAATCTAAAGTATAGACAAAGGAATTTTAGGGTATGAATTAGATAACATGGTAGTGTTTATGTTGCATTATATGTATTTATAGCTTGTAAGTGATGTCCATATTGTATTGTAAGTAATTCAAGTGTGTTGCAAAATAAAATTAAGTAAATAATAATTATAATGAATAACAAAACCAAATAAAAAAATGTATTTAGTTAAATTTAGACAGCTATGAACAAGGCAGTGCCATCACGATTATCTACACTGTTTTATCTTCTTATTAATGATACAGTAACTTTATGACTGAAGAAGCTGATGAAGCCTTAGACAGTATCTTTCAAAGTGTGTTGGCTTTCATCTTTTATGCCCAATTCACAGCCCTGCAGGGAAGCATTTCCTACCTTTCACCTGGTTTTTTCCTGTTTTGATAAGCCTTCCTCCCAAACCTCACATTTCCATAATAACTTACAGCATCCACATAATCATTGCATTTTGAATTTTTTTTGTGTACTTTCTTTACTTGGAAAATGATGTAAAAGGAAATAAAAAATAATGCAGTTAACCAATGTATGTAAAAAGGCAAATACTGGAGGGTTTTCACACATTTTAAAACCATTTAGAAGATCCTTCTAGTTAGACTTAATGTTTCCTGTTTTGTATGGGTTCTTCATCATTTAGTTAACACTCTGCACAGAATTGAAATATAGCGTCCAGTTTGAATTGCCATTGTTCTGGAGTGACTAGCCTCATCTTCACGAGGAAATACAAAAGAATTATCGCATCTATGAGAGGCTAGTTAGTCTAGAACAATGGCAATTCAAATTGGATGTCATAAATTATTTTGCTTCGGCTAATATGAATTTGATTTATGTACATTACCCTAGATTCATGGCTTATCACTTCTATGTTTAGATATTTTAATTTGTAGCAAGTTCAACTTGTTTTACTGATCATTTTGGTATAACTTACTCGTATTTACCATCTGATTTTAACTCTAGGACTTCAGATGGTGTTCATCATGTGCCCAGACACACCACAAAGTGTGACATCTGCAGTATTTAACATCATGATAAGTATTGGAAGTCTGCTGAGTCTTGGCATTTTAGCGCTTACCGCTTATCTTTGGGGGTGGTACCCCATAGCCAGGGAAGGGGCACTCAGGTACTATTTGGGTAACGACAAAGTTGCCTACTATTACTGGCTGTTAGCAGTAGTGACGGTCGCAACAGCACTTTTGACTTCTATTGTAGGATATACTTGTGATATTGGACCTGACAAAAATGGAATTAAACACCAAGTGCTGGTCAATGAAGAGACTTCGACACAAGGTCAGCTTTCAAATGCCGGGGTTGATTCAAAAAATAACACATTTGTGGAGCTCAGCTCGTGACAAAACTGTGTTCACTGTTTAAAATATTTATTGTAAATTGGAAGTGCGTTTGGATGTGAAGTTGTTGTAATGTTTCAGATTGGCAAGCTTGTATACGTAAAGTATTGTACGCTGCAAATTTTGTTTCCGAACGTCAATGAACGAAAGATACAGTACAATATATGTTGTTCGAATAAGCTAAGGTGGACCTTTATTGCTCATTTCAAGCGGATGGAAATGAGCCATGCATTGTGATGTTAATACTTCAGTTTACAGTTCTTAAATCAAGTACTTGTTTCATTTCTAAAATGCACGGGAAAACGCTTTTCATAATTTAAATTCTGCGTTACGACAAATTTTTTTCGTCAAATCAAACTGGATACTATTCAGAAAAGGACCAACAAAACTCTACAAGGCAAACTAATAATTTTTGTGTTTAAAAATGTCCACAGCGCAGTGTTGTAACGAATCAGAAATTGATAATGAGAACGGTGCTTGGGTTTCCAGTATGGCTAACTGTATTTAAACCTTCCTTAATTTCCGTCTCTGTTTGTTAATCAGTTTGTTGCGAGCGACAATCTACGCTAGCTCGTGGCAAAACTGTGTTCACTGTTTAAAATATTTATTCTTAATTGGAAGTGCGCTTTTTTTTAATACATGGACATTGTGACTTCGGATTTTTTATTTAGAATTAATCTGTGCCACAGATATAGCCACTAAACAATGCTAACCATCAAGTATTTTAACAATTTATTAGGAGTAAAAAAAACATCTTAGTAAAATAGATATCAATATTGATTACAAAATGACTTGACTCTGTGGCCGTAGCATTACAATAAAGATGATTATGATAATGATAATGACAGTGGAGGATCTAGACCTTGATCTAGGGGGGACGGGCAGTTTTTTGTCGCTTGCCCTACTGGCTTTTCTTCCTTCTGCGATTCTTTTTTTTTGTAAACCCAAAATAAGGAGGGGGACCCGGACCCCCCAGGGCCCCTCCCTTAGATCTACCATTGAATGATAATAACACTGACAACGGCAACGATAATGATAACGATAACGATAAAGATAGAAGTAATGTTGGCAGAAACTGTAATGATGATAATAATGATGAAGATATAGATAATTAAAGTTCAAATTTAACAAAACATTTGTGACCTTTTCTTCTGGTTTCTGGAATTCTCCAACCACTGGACACAGCATTCAAAGAAAGTCATCGATGTCCAATGTCACTGAAATGATCAATGTCCTTTCACCAAGGCCAAATCTAGCTTCGATTAATTCTGTGCACATTAGGTACTTATCAGGTTGTACCCCCCGTTAATTACTCTGGTCCCCCACGTCTGAACACCGTGATCATAACTAAGTAACCATATGACATTGTTTGAGGAAAGTTGTAATGACATGAGACCGTGGTGACAAGTTACCCAGGCTGGTAAACGCATGTGTAATTGAAAACTCGTTTTTCACTGCTGTCAATAAAGCGGCGAACTTCACTGAAAAACAGGTGCAAAGTTGCAGAGTGTGTCATAAGATTAGAACATTTCAATCCATGTGCATTCTTTCCTTTTTAAAGTAATAAACTGTACTGTATATCACGATAATGATCGAAGGCGGCATAAAATTACGAGATCGCGTGGATTCTTTGTGTTCGCTTGTTTGAAAGGCCCAGTAATTCGAAAAAAGAGCGTCAAAAGGTCATGAGGAAATTTTTTCGACCAAGAATTTTGAACGAATGGAATCAGTCTCGGTTTTTTAAGCGTTAATATATTATATATAAAATAAAGCAATTTTGCTCTTTTTAATGACATGCACACTGCAATGACAATAGTATTGAAAACTCGTTTTCTGCTGCTGTCAATCAAGCGGCGAACTTCACTAGAAACAGGTGCAAAGTTGCAGAGCGTGTCCTAAGATTGGAAAATTTCAATCCATGTGTTTGTT